TCCCAGTTTCTGGAATGTCTGTGATTTGTTGTTGTGTGCTGGGACTCGTGGCTTCAGTTTTATATGGAGTCTGGTGACACTGTTTCTTCTCCCTGCCTCTAACAGTAGCGATGGCTTCCCCTTTGTTGCTATTCTCCAGGTACCTCAATATTTCTCATTTGTTCACTTAACCTTACTTGCAAATAGACGAGTCTTTGAAAAGTCTCCTAAAAAATCTCAACTGAGTACATCATATGTTTCCTGCTGAGACCCTGAGTAATATAATCTATGTGAAGAAAACTTACTAAATGATAGCTATTATTGTTATTGAGGAGACCACTTTCTATTGAGGGATCGTCAAGTAATTCAGGCAAAAATGATTATGGTGCTTGGGGACAAAAATGTTTCAAAACAGATATGCCCAGAGCGCTGTGGAATGAGAAAGAAAACTCTCTCCATTTCTTTAATGCCCCACCCCCTTAGTCAGTCTAAGGAAGACCCAAGTCCTTCCCTCAGGATATTGCCATAGGAAGCCACTTAGAGCCCATTCTCACCACCATGATCTTCTCCCACACACCCCTCTCACTCACCTTGGAGGGCTATAAAGTGAGGGAGGTACACAGCTTCCACAGCTCCTGGTTCAGCCTTGATGTCAAAAAGAGGCCCTGCAACCATCCAGCTGTGCCGTGGGACAATCTGGTCCAGGAACTGGTCCCAAGCACAGAATTCAATCTCAATGGTCACTGGCCCTCTCACCACAAAGTGGAGACCCACGTTGGGCCAGTGGTAGGAACCAGCCACAGGGAAGTGAACTCTGGGGATAGCAGAGAGAGATAGACATTGAATTAATTACTCCACACAAGCTCACGGACTACCTACTGGATGCCTGACCCCATGTAGTGCACTGTGTATCTAGTAGAGTGGCTGCAAGCTCAGATGTCACAGCCAGAGGGATTTGGGTTTCTTTTTTTAAAAAAAATTTATTTTATTGTTTAAAGTATTACAGATAGTAGTACATATGTCTTTCTTTTTTTTCCTCATTGGCCTTCCCCTGGCCTCCCTTACCCCCTGGCATATGCCCTCAATCCCCCCACTCCCAGTGTGTTGTGCCCCTCTCTTCCTACTGTGGATCCCTGAGCAAGTCATTGAACCTCCATAATTGTAGTTTTCTTATTTTTAAGTAAAATGATAACAACACCATCTCTTAGAGTTGTGAGTAACAAGTGACCTAATGTATGCTGATGGCTTAATACTTGCGTGGGTGTGGTTAGCTGTTTCTATAATGGTGATAATGATGAGAATAATATTGATAGTAATGATAATAATAATAATAATAATAATAAAACAGGCAAGTGTTATTGTTTTTAAAGGGCCTAATTTTCAATAATTAATAACAATCTACATGGTGATATTAATGATAACCACTTGAACTTAAAATAAAACTTACAGAGACTTTCCCCAGGTTCCCTGTTGGTATAGAGCTGGTTTCTAGGATGTCATGTTCTGTGTGTAAGTTGAGTAATATTATCGCCGAGCTGAGATCATGTCTGTGACAATGAATGGGAATGTGCTATGTAAGAGATCAGAACTAAAATTATAGATATTTATTACTTAAGACTGGGAACCCTTGGAAAGAATGGCTCCATATTCATCTCATGGTTCCTTGTTACTGGTATGGTACTTTGCACATAGCGGATGTTAATAAAGCAGGAATGTGTAGATGAAAAGACATTTAAATGAGATTTATCATAAATAACAAACCAAATAAAATGAGTGGACTTGGATCCTGATTAGAATAAACTTACTGCAAGGATATATTTTGGATAATTGAGCATATTGAATACAGATGGGATATTAGATGATATGAAAATGACTTATTGTGAATGTTGTTAGATATGACAATGGCATTGTGGTTATGATAATGGCATTGTCGTCATTTTGTATTCTTCAAAATTCATCACAAAACATATACGAATAAAATCACCTGACATCTTGTATTTAAAATAGTATAACAACAAAAGAAGGGGAAAGTGAATAGTTGAAACAAATTTGGGAAAATGGTTGTTAAAGCTGGGTAATGCATAAGTGGTAGTCCCTTGAACATTTTTCTTTGTTGTTTGCAACTTTTCATAATAAAACTTCTGTTTCCATAACAAAAGTACTAATATAGCCCTGTCTCTGTCTGGTGGCTCAATAATAAGAACGGACCCAATGGATCATGAGTGGGGTGCTGAGTGTCTGCTGGGAACCAGTGTGGGGATGGCAGGGTGGGGAGGAGAACAGCCTGGCACACCAGATTCCTGTCACTCACCGGTACAGACTCCTGTGTTTGTCAACCATCTGTGTAGCCACAGCCCCTGTGGGGCCCCAGAAGTCATCATCCATCCCTAGAGGCTCCAAAAGTTGGTGCCCTAGAGGTTCACCAGATGACACACAGTAGGGTTTCTTTAATACTTGATGGGAGCTCTCCTCTGGAACAGAAAGGGTAGTGGTCAGCTTTAGGGTCTCCTGTCTGGCTTCTCCTACCCCTTAAGCTAGAACATGGAGGGGTCCTTCTCAAGGCTGGTCTGCCTGGACTTTGGAAGGTGTGTTTTAGTAGCCTCTGTCCATGCTTCTGGGCCTGCTTACCTGCTATCTGAGGAGGCCCAACCCCTGTAGTCCCCTGATGCCACCCCTGCCCACTGGTACAGAAGGCATTTCTATTCCTGCATCCACAAGAAAGGTAGCTTATGAGAAGAACATGGCTCTAAAGTTGGATGGGCAGTGATGGAAAGGGATTCCCAGGCCTCAGCAGCCCAGCGTGGATCAAAGTGTGAGACATGCCAGACAGGAGCTGGAGAGGAGCAGCCTCAGCCTCTGAGCCTGGGAGGGAAGAAACCAGAGATCTTGCCAGAGGCAGGAGCACGGAGGGGATAGCCTTCCATATCTTCCTCACCCCTGTCTCATTTAACTGTGCTCCCAGCCTGGCCCCTTCAAAGTACCTGATTCTGATGTCTGCCATTGGGGTGGAGATGGGCCATCACTCGTCTGTCCTCCACCTGGGACCATCTTAGTGATCGTTGCACTTGGCTCCCTAGACACAGAGTTGGTCATTCTCCCTGAGATCTTGGAGGAAGTTGGGGCTGTCTACATGACATCCCCACTTAATTTCAACCCATCTGAATTTTAACTCATGGCCTTCATCTGATGTTAACTCATAGACGCTGTCTTCATGATGGCCCCCATCCAGCCCTCCATCCATGCAGGACCTGGGATGTAGTCCTGACTCCTTCTGGCTCTCTCTGAGAGTTGATTGGCCACCTTGTCACTAGAAAGAGTATAGCTCTCCTTCTAGTCTCTTCTCTCCACCTCCACAATCTCCACCTCCAGCCAAAGCCCTGGCATCTGTGGCTGGAACAACTGTATCCTCCCCTTGAAGGTGCCTCTTCTTCCTTGTCCCTGTCCAGGCCATTTCTACACAGCAGCTGGTCTTCAATTTGAACCTGACTCATCACTTAGCTACTGAAGCCCTGAAATCTTCCTTTATTGCTTTTGAGTTAGAAGCGGAAGTTATTAACATGGCCCAAAGGCCTCTTTGTCCTCCCAACTTCCTGCCACCCCTCAGCTCCAATCCCACCTCTGCCACTCCCTCCTCACTCACTTCTAATCCAGTGCTGCTCAGAGGCCTTGTCAAAACACAGATTCTGATTCAGCAGGTTTGTAGTGAGGCTTGAGATTTGCATTTTTAATGAGCTCTCAGGTGATGCTAATGCTGACACTGCTGGTCCATGGTCCACACTTGAATAGCAGTGTTCCTGGTACCTGTCCTCCTTCCATTCCTCAAAGGAGCTGAGATCAGAACCTCTATCTCTGCCAGGAATCTACCCACTCTTGGCCCAGCTAACCTTCCCACCTTTCATAACTCAGCTCAGGTCCTTGGACAGACTCAAATAGGCCATCATGGCATTCAGACTGATCCCAGGCACAATGATTCATGCGGTGGGTCACCTGGGCCTGTGTCCCTCTTGCCTTAATTCTTAGGAGTTGGGCCCGTGTCCATGGTCCTGTGCCTAACACACTGTGGGTCTGAGGGGAGTGCTTGTTCCCTGAGGAATGGCTCCTCCTAAGCCTAGGAGCCATTCCCTGCCATGTCAAGTGAGGCAGAGCAGTCAGAACCAGGGCATAAGTGCACTTTGCAGTCACAAGTCGAAATATACCAAATGCCCCAGAGGAAGATGCATTCTCCTCTTCCCAAGGCTTCCCCTCATCTGGGCTGTGTACATGGGTGTTTATATGTGTGAAGGTGGTTTTCCCCCCACTAAGCTCTCTCTCCTTGTCTTTGTCTCCTCCTCATGTCATTGCTTTCTCTTTCTAAATATCACCCATTCACTTTTTTTCACTTATTCATCTCTTTATCATCTAGTCACTAGTGGAAGCCTTTAAACAGAGGAACGACATCATTTTGTTTGCACTAAACAAAAAACAAACAAACAAACATATCCCTCTGGCTGCTATGTTTCTTGGCTTCTTCCTGTTCTGTTTGTCTCTGCTTCCAGCCTCACCCCACCCCACCCCACTTCTGGCCTATGTCTCTGGACCAGCCTTTAGGAGTCAGCCCGGTGCCTGGGTCAGCTTGAGCAAAGTCTGTGTCTCCCCCTTTACCGATTTCTGATGCTTGCTGAAAGCTCAAATTTCTTAGGTTTTCCAGTGTCCTGCATCTCTGTCATCTCCTCACTCTTCAGAGGCGAGGGAAGCCTGCAAACACAAAGAAAGTTTGGTTACTTGGGACCCCCACACGATCTCAATGTCCTATAGAAACTACTATAGGTTGCGTTCCCTGAAATCAGGTTCTGAGATGGAGAATAGAGTTAGGAAGTTTATTCAGAAATGTTCTTGGGTCAACACCAGGGCAAAGAAAGGCAGGAAGCAGGAATGGGCAGAGACACAAGTTGGGCTATGACACAATCGCAAGGGACACAGCTGACTCTGTGGGACTTCTGATGTGGGGATGACCCTCCAGGCTGTTCCATACTGGGAGGAGGTGCTTTATACCACTACACCAGTCAGTCACTGGATGCAGTCCACCCCAGGGAGGGGAGGTGACCTTGTGTGAGTTGGCAGAGGCCATCCCTGTAGCCAGCAGCACTCCCAGGAACTGGGGTTACATCTTCTTTCCTGAAAGGAACCTGGGCAGCACTTCCCAGAATCCACCAGAGAACAGCCAGGCCCCATGGCCTCAAACTGACCATATAGGAGTAGGTCCTGGGATTTCCTTCTTAGAGGCTAGGAGGTCTCCTGGAAAGAAAGAGCCACTCTCACAGGCCCCGTGTTTTGGGGTTCCTGTTGGATTTGTTCCAGGGATAGGAGCCACCCATGGGGAAGTGAACTCTGGGGATTACAGAGAGAAGTAGACATTGAACTAATCACTCTACACAAGCTCACTGAGTATGTACTAAATATCCCACCCGAGCCGTGCCCTGCATAGCTAGTACAGTGGCTGCAAGCTCAAACATGTCACAGAGGGATTTGCGATTGTGTCGTAGCCCCTCTGCTCTCTACTGTGGATCCCTGAGCAAGTCACTGGAACTGCCTAGTCTCAGTTTTCTTATTTGTAAGTAAATGTAATAATAGAACCATCTCATTGAGTTGTGAGTAATAAGTCACCTAAGTATATGCTGACGGCTTAATATATGACCGCAGGTGGTTAACTTTTTCTAGAATGATGATGATGATGATGAAAATAATAATAGTATTAAGAACAATAAAATAGGAATGTCATTATTTTTAAAGGTCCTACTTTCCAACAATTTAATGCAATCTATATAGTGATATTAATGATAACCACTTGAGCTTAAAATCACACTTACAGAGATATTACAGAGACTTTCCCCAGGTTCCTGGTTGGTATAGAGCAGGTTCCTGGGATGTCAGCTTTTGTGTGTGTAAGTTGGGAGCAATATTATCACCCAGCTGAGATCATGTCTGTGACAGAGAATGCTAATGTGTTTGTAAGAGATCAGGACTAAGATTATAGACATTGGTTACTTATGAGTGGAACCCTGGGGAGGCACGACTCATGGCTGGTTGTTACTGGTATGGTACTGTGCACACAGTGGATGTTAACAAGACAGGAACATATAGGTGGAAAGAGATTTAAATGAGATTTATGAGACATAACAACCCAAATACAACGAGTGGACTTTGTTTGGATCCTGATTAGAACAAACCTACTACAAGGACACATTTTGGACAGTTGAGCATATTGAATGCAAAATGGGTATTAGATGATATGAAAATGACTATTGTAAACATTCTTAGATATTATAGTGGCATTGTGGTTATGGCAGAAAAGGTCTTTATTTCTATTCTTCAAAATGCATCACAAAATATATACGGAGAAGATCACCTGATATCATGTATTTAAAATACTATAATAATGCCCTAGCTGTATTGGCTTGGTGGATAGAGCGCCGGCCCATGGACTGAAGGGTCCTGGGTTTGATTCCAGTTAAGGGCACCTGCCTGGCTATGGGCTTGATTCCCAGTAGGGGTCGTGCAAGAGGCAGTCGATCAGTGACTCTCTCTTCTCATTGATGATTCTTTCTATCTCTCTCTCCCTCTCCCTTTCTCTCTGAAATCAATAAAAAACCAAACCAAAACAAAAGAAAAACTTTATTGAGGTATACACGACATACAATAAACTGAAAGTATTTAAAAAATAAAACAAAATCCTATATAATAAAAGCCTAATATGCAAATCGAAACGACTGGCGGAATGACTGGTTGCTATGATGTGCACTCACCACCAGGGGACAGATATTCAATGCAGGATTTGACCCCAGCCCACAGGCCTTAGGCTGCCCAAGGCAGGTGCCAGGGGGGATCCCCCCTATCGCCCTGCCAGTCACCCCCCAGATTGGCCCTGATTGCCGGCCAGGCCTATGGACCCTACCCGTGAACAAATGTCGTGCACCGGGCCTCTAGTACTATAATAACAAAAGCAGGGGAAAATGAATAGTTGAAACAGATTTGGGAAAATGGTTGTTGAAGCTGAGTAATGAGTAAGTGGAAGTCCCTTGGACTCTTTTTCTTTGTTGTTTGCAACTTTTCATAATAAAACTTCAGTTTCAATAATAAAAGCTCTAATCCAGCCCTGGTCTTTCTGCCTTGTGGCTCAGCAATGGAAAGGGGGGGCCACATGGCTATGACTGGGGTGCTGAGTGTCTGTGGGGATCCAGTTTGGGGATGGCGGGTTTGGGGGCCAGCCTGGCACAGTAGAGTCCCCTCAGTCACCAGTCCAGATTGGCCCTGTGTTTGTCAACCATCTCTGTAGCCTCAGGCCATATGGTGCCCCAGAATTCATTAGGAGTCATTAGAGTTTCCACTGGTTGTTTCCTCTGAAGTCCAGGATGAGGCCAATTCGAGGATACCACCTCTTTTCTGTGAGAGGAACAGATATGGCAGTGGTCAGCTTTAGGGTCTCCTGTCTGGCTTCTCCTACCCCTTAAGCTAGAACATGGAGGGGTCCTTCTCAAGGCTGGTCTGCCTGGACTTCAGAAGGTGTGTGTTAGTAGCCTCTGTCCATGCTCCTGGGGCTGCCTACCTGCTATCTGAGGAGGCCCAACCCTGTAGTCCCCCGAAGCCACCCCTGCCCACTGGTCAGAAGGCATTTCTATTCCCTCATCCACCAGGAAGGTAGCTTATGAGAAGAACATGGCTCTAAAGGTGGATGGGCAGTGACGGAAAGGGATTCCCAGGCCTCAGAAGCCCAGCGTGGATCAGAGTCTGAGACATGCCAGACATGAGCTGGAGAGGAGCAGCCTCAGCCCCTGAACCTGGGAGGGAGGAAACCAGAGTTCTTGCGAGGTTTTAGGTGTGGAAGATCTTGCATGGAGCGAGGCTTCTCTAGTTGTGAATTTTGCCACGGCTCACCCCAGAGGCAGGAGCATGGAGGGGATGGCCTTCCATATCCACCTCACCCCTGTCCCAGTTAACAATGCTCCCAGCCTGGCCCCTTCAAAGTGCCTCATTCTTATCTCTGCCATTGGGGTGGAGATGTGCCATCCCTCGTCTGTCCTCCACCTGGGACCATCTTAGTGATCGTTGCACTTGGCTTCCTAGACACAGAGTTGGTCATTCTCCCTGAGATCTTGGAGGAAGTTGGGGCTGTCTATGTGACATCCCCACTTAATTTCAACCCATCTGAATTTTAACTCGTGGCCTTCATCTGATGTTCTCTCATAGACCCTGTCTTCGTGATGGTCCCCATCCACCCTCCATCCATGCAGGAACTGGGATGTAGTCCTGGCTCCTTCTGGCTCCCTGTGAGAGTTGATTGGCCACCTTGTCACTAGCTCTAGTATAGCTCTCCTTTCTAGTCCCTTCTCTCCACCTCCACAGCATCCACCTACAGCCAAGGTCCTGGCATCTGTGGCTTGAACCACTGCATCCTCCCCTTAAAGGTGCTCTCTTCTTCTCTTGTCCCTCTCCAGGCCATTTCTACACAGCAGCTGGTCTTCAATTTGAACCTGACTCATCACTTAGCTACTGAAGCCCTGAAATCTTCCTTTATTGCTTTTGAGGTAGAAGCGGAAGTTATTAACATGGCCCAAAGGCCTCTTTGTCCTCCCAACTTCCTGCCACCCCTCAGCTCCAATCCCACCTCCGCCACTCCCCCTGCTCACTCACTTCTGATCCAATGCTGCTCAGAGGCCTTGTAAAAACACAGATTCTGATTCAGCAGGTCTGGAGTGAGGCTTGAGATTTGCATTTTTAATGAGCTCTCAGGTGATGCTGACGCTGACACTGCTGGTCCATGGTCCATGGTGCACACTTTGAGTAGCAGTGTTTCTGGTACCTGGCCTCCTTCCATTCCTCAAAGGAGCTGAGATCAGAGCCTCTATCTCTGCCAGGAATCTACCCACTCGAGGCCCAGCTAAGCCCTCCCACTTGTCATAACTCAGCTGAGGTCCTTGGATGAACTCAAATAGGCCATCAGGTTATTCAGGCTGATCCCAATCACATTGATTCATACCATGGGTTACCTGGGCCTCTGTCCCTGTTGAGTTAATTCCTAGGTGTTGGGCTCACGTTCATGGCCTTTTCCCTAACACACTGGGTCTGAGGGGAATGCTTGTTCCCTGAGGAATGGCTCATCCTAAGACCTCTTAGTGTCTTCTGCCAGACTAGGTGAGGCAGAGGAATGGGAACCAGGGCATAGATTTACTTTGCAGTCACAGGCCAAAATATACCAAAAGAAGGCCATGGGGCTGCAGTAAATTCCTATTAGGAAATCGTATTCTCCTCTTCCCAGGATTCCCCTCAGTTGGGCTGTGTACATTGGTGTTTATATGTGTAGAGATTGAATGAGGGTGGTCTGTCCTCTCCAAAGCTCTCTATGCTTGTCCTTATCTCCCCCTCAACATCCTTGCTTTTCATGTTCCAAATCTCACCCACTCACTCATACACTTTTCTTCATTTTTTTCGCCTCCGTATTATCTCATGGAAGGGTTTAAACAGAGAAGGGGCATAATCTTGTTTGAACTAAACAAACAAACAAAGAAACAACCTCACTCTGGCTGCTGCTGTTTCTTGGCTTCTTCCTGGTTCTGTCTGTCTCTGCTCCCAACCTCACCCAACCTTACTTCCGGCCCATGTTCCTGGAACAGCCTCTAGGAGTCAGCCCTGGGACTGGGTCAGCTTGAAGGAGTTCTGTGTCTCCCCCTTACCCATAATAGATGATCAGCTGAGACTTCCTCTGCTGCAGGTGACTCAGCATCTCTCTCACCTCCTCACTCAGCCCAATCTGGTCCAGCCTGAAAGCACAAAAGAAGCCTGGTAATCCTGGGACACCCATACGATCTCAAGGGCCTGAGGGCCCAGAATCATGGAACCTTCCATGTCTTGCAGGAACCTGTTGTAGATTGGATTCCCTGAAAACATGCTCTATGATGGAAAGTAGAGTTAGGAATTTTATTAGGGAGTGTTCTTGGGTCAATACCAGGGCAAAGGGAGGTAACAGGACTGGGTAGAGGGACAAGTTGGGGTGTGATGGAGTCCCCAGGGACACAGCTGACTATGTGGGAAGTTTGTTGTGGGGATGACACTCCAGAGCTGTCCATACTGGCAGGAGGGTCTTTATACCACTACCCCAGTCACTGGATGCAGGCCACCCCAGGGAGGGGAGGTGACCCTGTGTGAGATGGCCCTAGTTGGCAGAGGCCATCCTTTTAGCTGGCAGCACTCTCAGGGGTAGGGGTGGGGTCTTCTTTCCTGAAAGCAAACTGGGCAGCACTTCCCAGCATCCACCAAAGAACAGCCAGTTCCCATGGCCTCAAACTCACCACACAGAAGTGGGTCCTGTGATTTGTTTCCCAGAGGCTAGGAGGCTTCCTGGAAAGAAAGAGCCTGTTTCCATTCTCACATGCCCTGTGCTCTGGGGTTTCTGTTGGATTTGGGATGGCTGCTGCCCTCTCTGGGCCTCCATGTCCTCACCTCCAACACAGAGGGATCTGCTCAGCCTATTATGAGCCATGGACAGGCAGGTGTGAAGACCCTGCACCTGTCAGGGTGCACACCTTCCTCATTCCTGCTGTCAGAGCTGTTCTCCCCTGGGGAGGGGATGGGCCATGATGCAGAGGTTGTCCCTCTCATCAAGTCCCAGGGCCCTAGAAGGAAGGATGCAGAAACCTTCGCAGGATGTCCTAGAGTTGCTCTGAGGCAACCAAAAGGCAAGGAATAACGGGTGAGCGGGGCATGGATGCAGACCTACTGCAAAGGCTCAGCTCTGGAGAGGTGGTGACATAGGAGATGGTGACAGCCACAAATGCTCAGAGGGGAGGAGGCTGGGTGGTGGTAGCCCTAGAGCAGTGATGGCGAACCTTTTGAGCTCGGAGTGTCAGCATTTTGAAAAACCCTAACTTAACTGTGGTGCCGTGTCACATATAGAAATTTTTTGATATTTGCAACCATAGTAAAACAAAGACTTATATTTTTGATATTTATTTTATATATTTAAATGCCATTTAACAAAGAAAAATCAACCAAAAAAATGAGTTCATAGGTTCGCCATCACTGCCCTAGAGAATGGGGTTTTCTTGGTTGTGAAGGGACAGAGTGGGCTCTGGGAGGACCCACATGTAGTGCTCACCTCCTGCTGCTTTAGGTTTGAGAAAGGAGGAAAGGCTGAGAGTCAGCTGGAGCCTCAGCCAAGACTGAGGGGTCAGGACACACAGGTTTGGAGCCCTGTCAGCTCTGTGAGTGTGAGACAGGCCCCAGCCAGGGCTGCAGGGAAATGTTCAGTCAGAAACTGGCTGTGGACTTGTTTTCAGGCTGGAGGGCGACAGGCAGTGGCCGGGAGACAGGGTAGGAAATGACGTTTGGGGGTCACTGCACCCCAGCCATACAGCTCTCCAGTGCTTTGAGCCTGATTCTGTCCTGGGGTCTCCCCCACGCTATTCTCAGCCTGGACTGCTCCCCCTGACTAGGCCTGGTCAACTCCTTTTTCTGCTTCAGGTCTCGTCCTGATCTCACTTCCCGAGAGAGGCCCTCCCTGCCCCTGAGTCTAATTTCATCTTGCCCCTGTTACACTCTCATAACACAGTGCACTTTCTCTTCACAAACTGCATGGAGCTCAGAGATACACACTGTGTGTTAACATCTGTCTCCTTGTCACTGGAGTGTAAGCTTAAGGGGGCAGGACCCACACCTGTTGCTCAATATTGTCTCCTCAGTGCATGGCACAGTGCTTGGCAAGTGGGAGTCATGAAATGAATGAAAGGATGTATGAGTGAATGAATGAATGAGTCAAGGTAGGAAGGAAGGACAAAAGGAAGGAAGGATGAAAGGCCTGCCTTGGATGGAGAGGTAAACCGGGGTAGGAATCCTCTGAACATGTGGCCTCATCAGTGGTTCTCATTGGAGCCTCTCAACTGTTCCCAGCACTGCTCTAGTTTTACATGCATTTTATTTCATCACATCTATGAGGTGGGTATGATAGTCCTGTTATACAGATGAAGAAACTGAGTCTCAGGTGAAGACCTGCCCGTCTCAAGGCCTAAGTCAGTGTCAGATCTGGTAGGGAAGCCAGGATGCCCATTCATTTTTCTGCCCTTTACTTCCCCTGTCCAATTCAGGGCCCCCACAGCCCTTTCCAAACTCTCCCTCCCCTTCCCTGCCCTCTGCCCAGAAATGACCTGAGGGACTTACCACAAGTTCCTGAGTTCACAGGCAGGCTGCCAGAGTCCTTCACAGAGCAGCCTCATACCGAGGTTGCCCAGGTGGTTCAGCTGCAGGTTCAACTCTGTCAGGCTGGGGTTGGCACCCAGCATGGAGGCCAGGTCCTGGCAGCAGTTGTCTGTGAGAACGCAGCTGACAAGCCTGTGGGAGAGATTGGCATGTCCTGAAGGCCCTCTCCTCAGGGTAACTGGGGTCTGGTTTCGACTTCTAGTGCTGTGGCCATTTTGGGGTGCTTGGTGACATTAAAGGAAGAAAAGCACATGTCTGGCTTATAGTAACCTGGGACATTTTATTTAAGTTGTTAAATATTTTTTGGAGGGTTACAGGGAGGATGGAAGGAGTCTGGAACAGGTTTATAGGGGAAATAGGACGACATGCAATACTTTCAATAATAAAGATTGAAAAATAAATAAATAAAATTAAAATAAAGGTTACAGAGACAGGCAAAAAGCAAAAAAAAAAAAAAACAAAACAAGATTTAATCCTATTCTCACCAGGATATTTTTTCCATTGATATTTAGAGAGAGTGGAGGAGGAGAGCAGAGAGAGAAGAGAGAACCCCGATGTGAAAGATAAAAGAATTGGTTGCCTCCTGCAGGAAGCCCCTGTTGGGACACCAGGAATTGAAGCTGCAACTGAGGTTCTACCCCTTGACTGGGAATCAAACCTGTGACCCTTCAATCTGGGGGTCGATGATCCAAACACTGAGCCAAATCTGCCAGAGCATGGGAGATTTTCATTTTCTCCTACAGCCAAGGAGCCACTGGTCAACATTTCTCACTCCTGTGTGATTCTTACCAATGCTTCCTACACTCCACATCAGCACTGTACGATTAATTAACCCAACCTTCCAGTTGTGTACTGGGCCTAATGGTTAACTACATCAGTCTTGCCAGTTAGCTGATGTGGGATGCTCTGGTGGGGTTCAACTTGAGGGTATGTATCTGCTCCCAACCCCATTCTCCCATCCTGCCTAGTTCTCACTTTCTCTCTGATTTATGGCCTTAGGGCAACTATCTCCCCTCCTGTGGCTGCCCAGCCCTCAAAGTAATGTCAATGGTGAGCAATTACAGCTGCAGCTGAGGAGTGCAGGAAATAAAGCTTTATATCTTAGTACTTTTGATTTCATTTCTTTCCTGATGTTTGAGCAAGGGCAGTGCATTTTCATTTTGTATGGATCCTACAAATTATCAAGCTAGTCCTGAGAGGAGGAACAGGTGTTTTTGGTTAGGGAGGAAAGGCCTGCTTAGAATACACTGAATTGGAGGAGCCCCTGGCACATCCAGGTGGAGGGTGTGGTTTTCAGTCTTGAGCTGAAGATGGAAGCTTGGCAGGTACCTGCTGAAAGGGGTCTGGGATGCGATGGTGGGAAGCCCTGACTGAGGTGGAGGACCCTAAAATTGGGACCTGGTTACACGTCACCTGATTGGACGTCAGATAGGCCTATTGCCAAAGCTCACCTCTGTCAGTTACTAGATGAAGACTGGGGGCAGGTTTCTTAATCTTCAAGTTTACTGGTCTGTAACATGAATTCGACATGCCTTTGCACATGGTGGTTGCCAAGGTCAAAGGTGGTAACATATCCCATGTGCTTAAACAGTTCTTAAAGGATGCTGCTGCCTTGGAACCTGAGCCCCTTGGCTTTCTTCTAAGTCTCCTTCTTGTTTTTACACAATCTTGCATCTCAGTTTTCATGTCGCCCTTCTTTTTTCCTTCTGTCTCAGAAGGGCCAAGGCTTAAGTGGAAGCTTAAGGACCCACATCTGTTGCTCACTATTGTCTCCTCAGTGCCTGGCACAGTGCTTGGCACATGGGAGTCCTGAAATGAATGAAAGGATGAGTGAGTGAGTGAATGAATGAATGAATGAATGAATGAAGGCGGGAAGGAAGGAAGGAAGAACGGATGGAAGGCCTGCCTTGGATGGATAGGTAAACCGGGGCAGGACTCCTTTGAACATGTGGCCTCACCAGTGGTTCTCATTGGAGCCTCACAACTCTGTTCCCAGCGCTGCTCTAGTTTTACATGCATTTTATTTCATCACATCTATGAGGTGGGTATGATAGTCCTGTTATACAGATGAAGAAACCGAGTCTCAGGTGAAGACCTACCCGTCTCATGGCCTAAGTTAGCGGCGGATCCGGTAGGGAAGCCAGGCTGCCCATTTATTTTTCTGCCCCTTTACTTCCCCTGTTCAATTCAGGGCTCCCACAGCCCTTCCCATCGCTCTCCCTCCCCTTCCCTGCCCTCTGCGCAGAAATGACACGAGGGACTTACCTCAGGTGCTTGAGTTGGCAGGCAGGCTGCCTGAGCCCTTCACAGAGCAGCTTCACACCAAGGTCACCCAGGTAGTTCTGCCCCAGGTCCAACTCTGTCAGGCTGGGGCTGGCACCCAGAATGGAGGCCAGGTCCTGGCAGCAGTTGGATGTGAGGCCACAGCTGACCAGCCTGTGGGAGAGATTGGCATGTCCTGAGGGCCCTCTCCTCAGGGTAACTGGGGTCTGGTTTCCATTTCTAGTACTGTGGCCCTTTTGGGGTCCTTGGTGATATTAAAGGACAAACACATGTCTGGCTTATAGTAACCTGGGACATTTTATTTAAATTTTTAAATATTCTTTGGTGGGTTGCAGGGAGGATGGAAGGAGGCTGGAACAGGTTTATGGGGGAAATAGGACGACATATGCAATACTTTCAACAAAAAAGATTGAAAAATAAATAAATAAAAATAAAATAGAGGTTACATAGACCGGCAAAAAAAAGAAATTTTATTTTTAATCCTCAACAAGGATACTTTTTCCATTGATATTTAGACAGAGTGGGAGGGAGGAGAGGCAGGAGAGAGAAGCAGAGAAACACCGATGTGAAAGATAAAAGAATTGGTTGCCTCCTGCAAGAAGCCCCTGTTGGGACACCAGGAATTGAAGCTGCAACTGAGGTTCTCACCCTTGACTGGGAATCAAACCTGTGACCCTTCAATCTGGGGGTCGATGCTCCAACCACTGAGCCAAATCTGCCAGAGCATGGGAGATTTTCATTTTCTCCTACAGCCAAGGAGCCACTGGTCAACATTTCTCACTCCTGTGTGATTCTTACCAATGCTTCCTACACTCCACATCAGCACTGTACGATTAATTAACCCAACCTTCCAGTTGTGTACTGGGCCTAATGGTTAACTACATCAGTCCTGCCAGTTAGCTGATGTGGGATGCTCTGTTAGGGTTCAACTTGAGGGTATGTATCTGCTCCCAACCCCATTCTCCCATCCTGCCTAGTTCTCACTTTCTCTCTGATTTATGGCCTTAGGGCAACTATCTCCCCTCCTGTGGCTGCCCAGCCCTCAAAGTAATGTCAATGATGAGCAATTACAGCTGCAGCTGAGGAGTGCAGGAAATAAAGCTTTATATCTTAGTACTTTTGATTTCATTTCTTTCCTGATGTTTGAGCAAGGGCAGTGCATTTTCATTTTGTATGGATCCTACAATTTATCAAGCCAGTCCTGAGAGGAGGAACAGGTGTATTTGGTTAGGGAGGAAAAGTCTAGCTTAGAATACACTGAATTGGAGGAGCCCCTGGCACATCCAGGTGGAGGTGTGGTTTTCAGTCTTGAGCTGAAGATGGAAGCTAGGCAGGTAACCGCTGAAAGGGGTCTGGGATGCGATGGTGGGAATTCCTGAATGAGGTGGAGGACACTAAAATTGGGACCTGGTTACACTTCACCTGATTGGACGTCAGATAGGCCTATTGCCAAAGATCACCTCTGTCAGTTACTAGATGAAGACTGGGGGCAGGTTTCTTAATCTTCAAGTTTACTGGTCTGTCACATGAATTTGACATGCCTTTGCACATGGTGGTTGCCAAGGTCTAAGGTGGTAACATATCCCATGTGCTTAAACAGTTCTTAAAGGATGCTGTTGCTGTGGAACCTGAGCCCCTTGGCTTTCTTCTAAGTCTCCTTCCTGTTTTTACACAATCTTGCATCTCAGTTTTCATGTCACCTTTCTTTTTTCCTTCTGTCTCAGAAGGGCCAAGGCTTAAGTGGAAGCTGAAGGACCCACATCTGTTGCTCACTATTGTCTCCTCAGTGCCTGGCACAGTGCTTGGCACATGGGAGTCCTGAAATGAATGAAAGGATGAGTGAGTGAATGAATGAATGAATGAATGAGGGGAGGAAGGAAGGAAGGAAGGAAGGAAGGAAGGAAGGAAGGAAGGATGGAAAGAAGGAAGGAAAGAAGGAAGAAAGGATGAAAAGCCTGCCTTGGATGGATAGGTAAACCGGGGCAGGACTCCTTTGAACATGTGGCCTCACCAGTGGTTCTCATTGGAGCCTCTGAACTCTGTTCCCAGCGCTGCTCTAGTTTTACATGTATTTTATTTCATCACATCTATGAGGTGGGTATGATAGTCCTGTTATACAGATGAAGAAACCGAGTCTCAGGTGAAGACCTACCCGTCTCATGGCCTAAGTTAACGGCGGATCCGGTAGGGAAGCCAGGCTTCCCATTCATTTTTCTGCCCCTTTACTTCCCCTGTTCAATTCAGGGCCCCCACAGCCCTTCCCATTGCTCTCCCTCCCCTTCCCTGCCCTCTGCGCAGAAATGACCCAAGGGACTTACCTCAGGTGCTTGAGTTGGCAGGCAGGCTGCCTGAGCCCTTCACAGAGCAGCCTCACACCAAGGTCGCCCAGGTCGTTCTGCCCCAGGTCCAACTCTGTCAGGCTGGGGCTGGCACCCAGAATGGAGGCCAGGTCCTGGCAGCAGTTGTCTGTGAGGCCGCAGCTGACCAGCCTGTGGAGAGATTGGCATGTCCTGAGGGCCCTCTCCTCAGGGTAACTGGGGTCTGGTTTCCATTTCTAGTACTGTGGCCCTTTTGGGGTCCTTGGTGATATTAAAGGACAAACACATGTCTGGCTTATAGTAACCTGGGACATTTTATTTAAATTTTTAAATATTCTTTGGTGGGTTGCAGGGAGGATGGAAGGAGGCTGGAACAGGTTTATGGGGGAAATAGGACGACATATGCAATAATTTCAACAATAAAGATTGAAAAATAAATAAATAAAAATAAAGTAAAGGTTACATGGACCGGCAAAAAAAAGAAATTTTATATTTTTAATCCTCAACAAGGATATTTTTTCCATTGATATTTAGACAGAGTGGAAGGGAGGAGAGGCAGGAGAGAGAAGCAGAGAAACACCGATGTGAAAGATAAAAGAATTGGTTGCCTCCTGCATGAAGCCCCTTTTGGGACCCCAGGAATTGAAGCTGCAACTGAGGTTCTCACCCTTGACTGGGAATCAAACCTGTGACCCTTCAATCTGGGGGTCGATGATCCAAACACTGAGCCAAATCTGCCAGAGCATGGGAGATTTTCATTTTCTCCTGCAGCCAAGGAGCCACTGGTCAACATTTCTCACTCCTGTGTGATTCTTACCAATGCTTCCTAATCTCCACATCAGCACTGCACGATTAATTAACCCAACCTTGCAGTTGTGCACTGGGCCTAATGGTTAACTACATCAGTCCTACCAGTTAGCTGACGTGGGATGCTCTGGTGGGTGTCAACTTGAGGGTATGTATCTGCTCCCAACCCCATTCTCCCATCCTGCCTAGTTCTCACTTTCTCTCTGATTTATGGCCTTAGGGCAACTATCTCCCCTCCTGTGGCTGCCCAGCCCTCAAAGTAATGTCAATGGTGAGCAACTACACCTGCAGCTGTGGAATGGAGGGAATAAAGCTTTAATCTTAATACCTTTGATTTCATTTCTTTCCCAATGTTTGAGCAAAGGCACTGCATTTTCATTTTGTATGGATCCTACAAATTATCAAGCTAGTCCTGAGTTGAGGAACAGGTGTTTTTGGTTTGGGAGGAAAGTCTAGTTTAGAATACACTGAATTTGAGGAGCCCCTGGTACACCTTGGAAGAGGGTGTGGTTTCTCAGTTCTCAGCTAAAGTTGGTAGCTTGGCAGGTACCCGCTGAAAGGGGCTTGGGATGCGATGGTGGGAATTCCTGAATGAGGTGGAGGACACTAAAATTGGGACCTGGTTACACTTCACCTGATTGGACGTCAGATAGGCCTATTGCCAAAGCTCACCTCTGTCAGTTACTAGATGAAGACTGGGGGCAGGTTTCTTAATCTTCAAGTTTACTGGTCTGTAACATGAATTTGACATGCCTTTGCACATGGTGGTTGCCAAGTTCAAAGGTGGTAACATATCCCATGTGCTTAAACAGTTCTTAAAGGATGCTGCTGCCTTGGAACCTGAGCCCCTTGGCTTTCTTCTAAGTCTCCTTCTTGTTTTTACACAATCTTGCATCTCAGTTTTCACGTCGCCCTTCTTTTTTCCTTCTGTCTCAGAAGGGCCAAGGCTTAAGTGGAAGCTAAAGGACCCACATCTGTTGCTCACTATTGTCTCCTCAGTGCCTGGCACAGTACTTGGCACATGGGAGTCCTGAAATGAATGAAAGGATGAGTGAGTGAATGAATGAATGAATGAATGAATGAGGGGAGGAAGGAAGGAAGGAAGGAAGGAAGGAAGGAAGGAAGGAAGGAAGGAAGGACAGAAGGAAGAAAGGATGAAAGGCCTGCCTTGGATGGAGAGGTAAACCGGGGCAGGACTCCTTTGAACATGTGGCCTCACCAGTGGTTCTCATTGGAACCTCTCTACTCTGTTCCCAGCGCTGCTCTAGTTTTACATGCATTTTATTTCATCACATCTATGAGGTGGGTATGATAGTCCTGTTATACAGATGAAGAAACTGAGTCTCAGATGAAGACCTGGCTTACTCATGGCTTAAGTCAGAGGCGGATCCGGTAGGGAAGCCAGGCTGCCCATTCATTTTTCTGCCCCTTTACTTCCCCTGTTCAATTCAGGGCCCTCACAGCCCTTCCCATCGCTCTCCCTCCCCTTCCCTGCCCTCTGCACAGAAATGACCCGAGGGACTTACCTCAGATGCTTGAGTTGGCAGGCAGGATGCCTGAGCCATTCACAAAGCAGCTTCACACAAAGGTCACCCAGGTAGTTCTGCCCCAGGTCCAACTCTGTCAGGCTGGGACTGGCACCCAGCATGGAGGCCAGGTCCTGGCAGCAGTTGGATGTGAGGCCACAGCTGACCAGCCTGTGGAGAGATTGGCATGTCCTGAGGGCCCTCTCCTCAGGGTAACTGGGGTCTGGTTTCCATTTCTAGTACTGTGGCCCTTTTGGGGTCCTTGGTGATATTAAAGGACAAACACATGTCTGGCTTATAGTAACCTGGGACATTTTATTTAAATTTTTAAATATTCTTTGGTGGGTTGCAGGGAGGATGGAAGGAGGCTGGAACAGGTTTATGGGGGAAATAGGACGACATATGCAATACTTTCACCAATAAAGATTGAAAAATAAATAAATTTAAATAAAATAAAGGTTACAGAGACCGGCAAAAAAAAAAGAAATTTTATTTTTAATCCTCACCAAGGATATTTTTTCCATTGATATTTAGGCAGAGTGGGAGGGAGGAGAGGCAGGAGAGAGAAGGAGAGAAACACCGATGTGAAAGATAAAAGAATTGGTTGCCTCCTGCAAGAAGCCCCTGTTGGGACACCAGGAATTGAAGCTGCAACTGAGGTTCTCACCCTTGACTGGGAATCAAACCTGTGACCCTTCAATCTGGGGGTCGATGCTCCAACCACTGAGCCAAATCTGCCAGAGCATGGGAGATTTTCATTTTCTCCTGCAGCCAAGGAGCCACTGGTCAACATTTCTCACTCCTGTGTGATTCTTACCAATGCTTCCTACACTCCACATCAGCACTGTACGATTAATTAACCCAACCTTCCAGTTGTGTACTGGGCCTAATGGTTAACTACATCAATCCTGCCAGTTAGCTGAAGTGGGATCTCTGGTGGGGTTCAACTTGCGGGTATGTATCTGCTCCCAACCCCATTCTCCCATCCTGCCTAGTTCTCACTTTTTCTCTGATTTATGGCCTTAGGGCAACTATCTCCCCTCCTGTGGCTGCCCAGCCCTCAAAGTAATGTCAATGGTGAGCAATTACAGCTGCAGCTGAGGAGTGCAGGAAATAAAGCTTTATATCTTAGTACTTTTGATTTCATTTCTTTCCTGATGTTTGAGCAAGGGCAGTGCATTTTCATTTTGTATGGATCCTACAAATTATCAAGCTAGTCCTGAGAGGAGGAACAGGTGTTTTTGGTTAGGGAGGAAAGTCTAGCTTAGAATACACTGAATTGGAGGAGCCCATGGCACATCCAGGTGGAGGGTGTGGTTTTCAGTGTGGAGCTGAAGATGGAAGCTTGGCAGGTACCTGTGGAAAGGGGTCTGGGATGCGATGGTGGGAACCCCTGAATGATGTGGAGGACCCTAAATTTGGGACCTGGTTACACTTCACCTGATTGGACGTCAGATAGGCCTATTGCCAAAGATCACCTCTGTCAGTTACTAGATGAAGACTGGGGGCAGGTTTCTTAATCTTCAAGTTTACTGGTCTGTCACATGAATTTGACATGCCTTTGCACATGGTGGTTGCCAAGGTCTAAGGTGGTAACATATCCCATGTGCTTAAACAGTTCTTAAAGGATGCTGTTGCTGTGGAACCTGAGCCCCTTGGCTTTCTTCTAAGTCTCCTTCCTGTTTTTACACAATCTTGCATCTCAGTTTTCATGTCACCTTTCTTTTTTCCTTCTGTCTCAGAAGGGCCAAGGCTTAAGTGGAAGCTTAAGGACCCACATCTGTTGCTCACTATTGTCTCCTCAGTGCCTGGCACAGTGCTTGGCACATGGGAGTCCTGAAATGAATGAAAGGATGAGTGAGTGAACGAATGAATGAATGAATGAATGAATGAGGGGAGGAAGGAAGGAAGGAAGGAAGGAAGGAAGGAAGGAAGGAAGGAAGGAAGGAGGGAAGGAAGGAAGGAAGGAAGGAAGGAAGGAAGGAAGAAAGGATGAAAGGCCTGCCTTGGATGGAGAGGTAAACCAGGGCAGGACTCCTTTGAACATGTGGCCTCACCAGTGGTTCTCATTGGAGCCTCTGAACTCTGTGCCCAGAGCTGCTCTAGTTTTACATGCATTTTATTTCATCACATCTATGAGGTGGGTATGATAGTCCTGTTATACAGATGAAGAAACCGAGTCTAAGATGAAGACCTGCCCGTCTCAAGGCCTAAGTCAGAGGTGGATCCGGTAGGGAAGCCAGGCTGCCCATTCATTTTTCTGCCACTTTACTTCCCCTGTTCAATTCAGGGCCCCCACAGCCCTTCCCATCGCTCTCCCTCCCCTTCCCTGCCCTCTGCTCAGGAATGACCTGAGGGACTTACCTCAGATGCTTGAGATGGCAGGCAGGCTGCCTGAGCCATTCACAAAGCAGCTTCACACCAAGGTCACCCAGGTTGTTCTGCTGCAGGTCCAACTCTGTCAGGCTGGGGCTGGCACCCAGCATGGAGGCCAGGTCCTGGCAGCAGTTGGATGTGAGGCCACAGCTGACCAGCCTGTGGGAGAGATTGGCATGTCCTGAGGGCCCTCTCCTCAGGGTAACTGGGGTCTGGTTTCCATTTCTAGTACTGTGGCCCTTTTGGGGTCCTTGGTGATATTAAAGGACAAACACATGTCTGGCTTATAGTAACCTGGGACATTTTATTTAAATTTTTAAATATTCTTTGGTGGGTTGCAGGGAGGATGGAAGGAGGCTGGAACAGGTTTATGGGGGAAATAGGACGACATATGCAATACTTTCAACAATAAAGATTGAAAAATAAATAAATATAAATAAAATAAAGGTTACAGAGACCGGCAAAAAAAAAAATTTTATTTTTAATCCTCACCAAGGACATTTTTTCCATTGATATTTAGACAGAGTGGAAGGGAGGAGAGGCAGGAGAGAGAAGCAGAGAAACACCGATGTGAAAGATAAAAGAATTGGTTGCCTCCTGCAAGAAGCCCCTGTTGGGACACCAGGAATTGAAGCTGCAACTGAGGTTCTCACCCTTGACTGGGAATCAAACCTGTGACCCTTCAATCTGGGGGTCGATGCTCCAACCACTGAGCCAAATCTGCCAGAGCATGGGAGATTTTCATTTCCTCCTGCAGCCAAGGAGCCACTGGTCAACATTTCTCACTCCCGTGTGATTCTTACCAATGCTTCCTACTCTCCACATCAGCACTGTACGATTAATTAACCCAACCTTCCAGTTGTGTACTAGGCCTAATGGTTAACTACATCAGTCCTGCCAGTTAGCTGACGTGGGATGCTCTGTTAGGGTTCAACTTGAGGGTATGTATCTGCTCCCAACCCCATTCTCCCATCCTGCCTAGTTCTCACTTTCTCTCTGATTTATGGCCTTAGGGCAACTATCTCCCCTCCTGTGGCTGCCCAGCCCTGAAAGTAATGTCAATGGTGAGCAATTACAGCTGCAGCTGAGGAGTGCAGGAAATAAAACTTTATATCTTAGTACTTTTGATTTCATTACTTTCCTGATGTTTGAGCAAGGGCAGTGCATTTTCACTTTGTATGGATCCTACAAATTATCAAGCTAGTCCTGAGAGGAAGAACAGGTGTTTTTGGTTAGGGAGGAAAGGCCTGCTTAGAATACACTGAATTGGAGGAGCCCCTGGCACATCAAGGTGGAGGGTGTGGTTTTCAGTGTGGAGCTGAAGATGGAAGCTTGGCAGGTACCCGCTGAAAGGGGTCTGGGATGGGATGGTGGGAAGCCCTGAATGAGGTGGAGGACACTAAAATTGGGACCTGGTTACACTTCACCTGATTGGACGTCAGATAGGCCTATTGCCAAAGCTCACCTCTGTCAGTTACTAGATGAAGACTGGGGGCAGGTTTCTTAATCTTCAAGTTTACTGGTCTGTATCATGAATTTGACATGCCTTTGCACATGGTGGTTGCCAAGTTCAAAGGTGGTAACATATCCCATGTGCTTAAACAGTTCTTAAAGGATGCTGCTGCTGTGGAACCTGAGCCCCTTGGCTTTCTTCTAAGTCTCCTTCTTGTTTTTACACAATCTTGCATCTCAGTTTTCATGTCGCCCTTCTTTTTTCCTTCTGTCTCAGAAGGGCCAAGGCTTAAGTGGAAGCTGAAGGACCCACATCTGTTGCTCACTATTGTCTCCTCAGTGCCTGGCACAGTGCTTGGAACATGGGAGTCCTGAAATGAATGAAAGGATGAGTGAGTGTGTGAATGAATGAATGAATGAATGAGGGGAGGAAGGAAGGAAGGAAGGAAGGAAGAAAGGAAGGAAGGAAGCTCGGACAGAAGGAAGAAAGGATGAAAGGTCTGCCTTGCATGGAGAGGTAAACCGGGGCAGGACTCCTTTGAACATGTGGCCTCACCAGTGGTTCTCATTGGAACCTCTCAACTCTGTTCCCAGCGCTGCTCTAGTTTTACATGCATTTTATTTCATCACATCTATGAGGTGGGTATGATAGTCCTGTTATACAGATGCGGAAACCGAGTCTCAGGTGAAGACCTACCCATCTCATGGCCTAAGTTAGCGGCGGATCCAGTAGGGAAGCCAGGCTGCCCATTCATTTTTCTGCCCCTTTACTTCCCCTGTTCAATTCAGGGCTCCCACACCCCTTCCCATCACTCTCCCTCCCCTTCCCTACCCTCTGCGCAGAAATGACCCGAGGGACTTACCTCAGGTGCTTGAGTTGGCAGGTAGGCTGCCTGAGCCCTTCACAGAGCAGCTTCACACCAAGGTCACCCAGGTTGTTCTGCTGCAGGTCCAACCCTGTCAGGCTGGGGCTGGCACCCAGCATGGAGGCCAGGTCCTGGCAGCAGTTGTATGTGAGGCCGCAGCTGACCAGCCTGTGGGAGAGATTGGCATGTCCTGAGGGCCCTCTCCTCAGGGTAACTGGGGTCTGGTTTCCATTTCTAGTACTGTGGCCCTTTTGGGGTCCTTGGTGATATTAAAGGACAAACACATGTCTGGCTTATAGTAACCTGGGACATTTTATTTAAATTTTTAAATATTCTTTGGTGGGTTGCAGGGAGGATGGAAGGAGGCTGGAACAGGTTTATGGGGGAAATAGGACGACATATGCAATGCTTTCAACAATAAAGATTGAAAAATAAATAAATATAAATAAAATAAAGGTTACAGAGACCGGCAAAAAAAAGAAATTTTATTTTTAATCCTCACCAAGGATATTTTTTCCATTGATATTTAGGCAGAGTGGGAGGGAGGAGAGGCAGGAGAGAGAAGGAGAGAAACACCGATGTGAAAGATGAAAGAATTGGTTGCCTCCTGCATGAAGCCCCTTTTGGGACCCCAAGCATTGAAGCTGCAACTGAGGTTCTCACCCTTGACTGGGAATCAAACCTGTGACCCTTCAATCTGGGGGTCGATGCTCCAACCACTGAGCCAAATCTGCCAGAGCATGGGAGATTTTCATTTTCTCCTGCAGCCAAGGAGCCACTGGTCAACATTTCTCACTCCTGTGTGATTCTTACCAATGCTTCCTACTCTCCACATCAGCACTGCACGATTAATTAACCCAACCCTCCAGTTGTGTACTGGGCCTAATGGTTAACTACATCATTTCTAGCAGTTAGCCGACGTGGTGTACTCTGGTGGGGTTCAACTTGAGGGTATGTATCTGCTCCCAACCCCATTCTCCCATCCTGCCTAGTTCTCACTTTCTCTCTGATTTATGGCCTTAGGGCAACTATCTCCCCTCCTGTGGCTGCCCAGCCCTCAAAGTAATGTCAATGATGAGCAATTACAGCTGCAGTGATGGAATGGAGGGAATAAAGCTTTGTATCTTAATACCTTTGATTTCATTTCTTTCCCAATGTTTGAGCAAAGGCACTGCATTTTCATTTTGTATGGATCCTACAAATCATCAAGCTAGTCCTGAGTTGAGGAACAGGTGTTTTTGGTTTGGGAGGAAAGTCTAGTTTAGAATACACTGAATTTGAGGAGCCCCTGGTACACCTTGGAAGAGGGTGTGGTTTCTCAGTTCTCAGCTAAAGTTGGTAGCTTGGCAGGTACCCGCTGAAAGGGGCTTGGGATGCGATGGTGGGAATTCCTGAATGAGGTGGAGGACACTAAAATTGAGACCTCTTTACACTTCACCTCTTTGGACGTCAGATAGGCCTGGTGTCAAAGCTCACCTCTGTCAGTTACTAGATGAAGACTGGGGGCAGGTTTCTTAATCTTCAAGTTTACTGATCTGTAACATGAATTTGACATGCCTTTGCACATGGTGGTTGCCAAGATCAAAGGAGGTAACATATCCCATGTGCTTAAACAGTTCTTAAAGGATGCTGTTGCTGTGGAACCTGAGCCCTTTGGCTTTCTTCTAAGTCTCCTTCCTGTTTTTACACAGTCTTGCATCTCAGTTTTCATGTCCCCCTTCTTTTTTCCTTCTGTCTCAGAAGGGCCAAGGCTCCTGTGTCTTTGACTCTACAATTTTCTGCCTCCCATCTGACCCTGTTCTTTTACGTATTCCCTCTTCAGACCTCCATCCTCTCCTTTACCAGTTCCTTCTGCTTTGTCCCTGTTCTATGCTCAGTTTTACATGTCCATAAAAATCGAAGCACCCAGAATCCTTGAGTCTCACATATTCAACTCTTTTCCGAAGAAATCCAATCATTAGTTAGACTTTGCTTGAAGTTCTTAGACATTCCTACACTCTTCGTGTAGGCAGAAGCTGATCAATGTTTCTCTCTCATAGATGTTTCTATCTCTCTCTCCCTCTCCCTCCCTCTCGCTCTAAAATCAATAAAAACATATATAGATATATATTTTTTAAATACAAAAGATACCATCATGTTCCCACAATCATATCTGTAGGAAACTGATATAGGGTTGAGCCTGGGACTGACCTGCTGTCAAAGTCACAAACAAGTCCCAGCTTAGAGGGCTCAGTCCTCTAAGCATAATTAGGCTTGACCTTATAACACTCCCCGGATCTTACCTGGGAAGCTAATGGGCTGAGGGAAGTACAGGGAGTGTAAACATGATCAAAACAGGTGAAACTCACAAGAACTGTAACTATGGTAACCACTACATTGTTTACCTCAGACTATAAAAGGTGGGTTCGGACTGAGCCCCGGTGGAAGTCCTTCCTCTTGAGTTGGACTTACCCGCCTGGTCCCCCAATATTTCCAAATTATCTCTTGTCTTTTCTATTTCATTTGTGTGTGTCTCCTCTTCCAGATATTGAACCCTGAACCACCCGGGACATGGGAGGAAACATTTACGGCACATATCTATATGTCTTTTGGCCAATGTCTCTCTGCCAGTTCTTCTCCCCTCCTGTTACAGTTGGAGGTGTTTCCCAACTCCTCCTAAGCCATCCTTCTCCCATTGCCTCCCTCTGAGGAAAGGGAGACCATCAATTAGTCCTTCTTGTATCTTTCATCATCCTTTATCAACATATATTCAAACTTAGACCTTTTCCTTCTTTAGTGTAAACAAGTGCACTTGAGCGTGTGCAAACACACACACACACACACACACACACACACACACAT